CCATAATTAACTTTTGAGGTTTTAAAGTAGTGTTAGTTTATAATGACAACTAGTTGCATTTTGGGGGGAAGTATGATTTAAAAAATTCTTATTCAAGTAATGTTTTCGCTTAAAAACAACTACTTTTTTCCTATTAAATTATTTTATCTAATTTGTGAAGACAATTTTAGATGTATGCATTTAATGAAAGCAATGGAATACATGTAGTTTTGTTGAATATTATCGGCTGAAAACATTCTTTGCAGATGAATATAAGAATTGCAGTTTTTCAGATGCCATATTATATACTTTTAAAATTGCTATTTAAAAAAATATATGCCTTCAAATTTGTACAAATGTAGACAAAAGTTTTTCCAGAAAATTAAAAGAATTAAATATAATTTTTCCTTTTTTGGCTAGATTTCTCAAAAATAAAATTATTTAAATTCATATATTTTCACCATTTTTGCTCTGTTAGTTGCTCATGTGCTTATGTAAATTATTTTTTTATGGTCAAAATAATTTTTTTTAATGATACAGCCTATGCGATTGTTGGTTTATATGCACATCTATTGGAAATGTGCTTCTAATAGAGCAAAAACAGTATATTAAATAGTAGTTGTTTTTATTTTTTGCAAATTAATTTTAATAATAAACTTTAGTTTATTGCACTGTACATTTTATCATTTGACTGAAAAGTTTGTGATTACTGGTAGAAAGTTTATATCAATACCTGTTTTGTTTTTTTGAATAAAAATATTTTTTATTAAAAAGTCTTTTGAAGTCAGTATTTGGGTGGGAGAATTACTTTTTTCTAATCAACTTATTTGTTGTACATTATATTTCAAGTAATGTTGTGCAATGTATTCATGGTAATAGTTTTATCTTTTTTTATATTTTTCCATCAATTATGTCTGGTACATGTTGAGTAATGTACTCTTGTATAACTAATTAGTTTAGATGTTATGTAAATGAATGATGGACTCCCCAAAGATCCTGATTCTACAGGAAAAGAAGCCTGTCAGATTCTGACACAAAATCCTACAGGACAAACTTGTATGATTCCTACAATATTTTTACATATGTCAAAATCCTATAGGAATAGACATATTGAAATTTGTCCTATTGCAATCTTATAGGAGTTTGTTCTATTGAAATCCTATAGAAATGTAACCTATTGCAATCCCATAGGAGTGTGTAAGGGTATCTATGTACACACGCACAGACAGAATAACAGCAAAGACTCCCATTGTGTCCTTCACACACAAGAGTAAAAAAATGCCATAACTCTCCATGTTGTCAAAACTAATATTCTAATTCTGTTCAGCACACGCACAGACAGAATAACAGCAAAGACTCCCATTGTGTCCTTCACACACAAGAGTAAAAAAATGCCACAACTCTCCATGTTGTCAAAACTAATATTCTAATTCTGTTCAGCACACGCACAGACAGAATAACAGCAAAGACTCCCATTGTGTCCTTCACACACAAGAGTAAAAAAATGCCATAACTCTCCATGTTGTCAAAACTAATATTCTAATTCTGTTCAGCACACGCACAGACAGAATAACAGCAAAGACTCCCATTGTGTCCTTCACACACAAGAGTAAAAAAATGCCATAACTCTCCATGTTGTCAAAACTAATATTCTAATTCTGTTCAGCACACGCACAGACAGAATAACAGCAAAGACTCCCATTGTGTCCTTCACACACAAGAGTAAAAAAATGCCATAACTCTCCATGTTGTCAAAACTAATATTCTAATTCTGTTCAGCACACGCACAGACAGAATAACAGCAAAGACTCCCATTGTGTCCTTCACACACAAGAGTAAAAAAATGCCATAACTCTCCATGTTGTCAAAACTAATATTCTCATTCTGTGCAGCAATAAATACCAAAATGAATATTCTAGATTGTACTTTGTTTACTTTATATGTTTATAAATTAATATTAATATTTAATGTTGTTATTTTAGTTTTATTTTCAGATACGATTGAATTATGTATATGAATTTCAATGATATAAATATTCAGACATTTGATATTACCTGAGATTCTGGTCAAAATTATTTTGTAATACTCTCTATAATAATCTGGCCAGAGTCTAACAAGTAACAATATTGCTAGATTAGGATCAGAATTTTCCCCAAAGCAAGTCTAGTCAGACAATCATCATATACTTATTATTGTTGATGTTACCAAGCAGACTTGAACTTGATGACACAGCTGATAACGTCACATATTGAAATTATTTCTTACCCGAGTCTTTTCTCTCTCCATAATATCCAATGGTCTGATTATCTTCCCGTTTATAAAGTCACACACCTGGTACATCACAATTATAGTGGCCAAGCCAGCATACAGAAACATGGCGTGACTGGAGAAATAACTCTCTTGTCCTGCCATATCTAACATAACCATTTTACCAACACCTGGCACTTCTTCTTTTGATATGTCTATGCCTGGGGTCAACACATACTTATCTTTGCCTGGTTCAGGACCAGCTTTAGATTTGGATGTCTGAAATATATGATAAATATCCATGAAATATATCTACCACACATTTTTACAATGTTAAGTACTAGTACTACTGATAGATGACCATTGTAAAACAAAATATACTATCATGACATTACTCACTTTGAGTAAAGACTTCTTCAGAGTTGTTTTCCCTGCACCTCCATCTCCACAAAACAGTAGTTTTGTTACGTCGATGGGGATTCCAGGCTCCTTCTGTAGTATTTTATAGTCACGTTCCTAAAATATATTTTATTCGACTTTAACTTCAGAATAACTGTCCTGTGATTGGTTGCTGGTGGAATTATACGAGTTCAGTATTATGTTTGACAGACGAAATATAGTATTGAAATAAGTAATACCTTTTTCACTTTAATTAACAATATCTCAGCTTCTTCATAAAATTGGTTCTGAAAAATACTTCCTGTACAAATTTTAGACCTCACATACTCAATTGCAGTCTTGTCGGCCTAAAATTTAAAATAAATTGTAACTATTACGGTAAAATCACCAGAAATTGCACAAAATACAATATTGTGTATAATATCTGTGGCACTCAGTGTATCTGGTTTTTAATAATATATAATTTAGAGAATTTGCCAAAGAAACATGAACATTTTAATTTTAAGATATATGCACTATTTTTATAAATCATTAAAATTACAATTTATGAGTTTCCATATTTAATTCGCACCAATGACACGTCTGTAATAAACTTTCAGACATTATTGTCATATTACACTTTATACGTCTGATGTGAACCAATGTAAAAGGACTTTTGTAAAGTTACAATTACGGTGATAACCAATTTAACAGATTCATTTTTATAACATTTATTATGGAATGTAAATTACAAACCTTATTTGGTGACGTCATGTCTATGTTTTTCTCTAATAAAATCCTCATGATATTCAATCTATTGGTTTTATCTTGTGATGTCATGACAAGATATCTAACCCCATCAATCACTCTAAACAGTGCATTCTTATGATCCTACAATACAATATACAGGTTGATGTAAAACACATAATTAGTGAACAAAGTAATAATTTGAAGAGTCATTGTTTATATGATGAATACAATATGAGAAGTTGTCAAAACAGTTGTGGGAATAAGTAGAAATCAAACAAATAAACAAATATTAATATTGAATGTCAACCTGTAATTCCATCAGTGCCCATACGTCATCAGGATTAAAACTCGTTGGTTGAATTGGATGACCCGTAACATTTTGTTATCAACATAGATTCAATGGTGACGACCAGGTATTCACGATAATAAATACACAGGTGTAACCAAATATAGGTAAAATAAAAATGGTTTTAAATATCTATATTTGTCTTTGGTTATAACGTTGTTTTACTCGATAAGATGACAAATAGGTTACAACATGGAAAACGTATGAGTTGACAATTACTTCTCCTCATATTATTGGATATATTGGAACAAGAAATAATACCTGTAACATTTCGTTCACCCAATGTTTTGCCCTGATTTTAATAATTTACTAAATGTTTATAA